TCCAAGGGCTATTAACTAGTTAACTCAAATCCAGATGATAAGATCAATCCAGATGAACAATGAAACAAAACAAACAGGAAAGTTGGAATCAACAGAGACCAAATAATAAATCTCTTGTGTTATACAGAAAGGAGGATTGGTACCTGGCATTAGGTCACTAGTAGGGAAGAGGTCTTGCAACATTGACTCCCTCTCGACAAGGAAATCCTCGGCCGAAAGAGAATCGCTAATCCCGCTTTCTTCAACAAAAATCCTAGCAGCTTCTATTGCTTTTCTACCCATCATTTTAGCCTTAAGAGACCAATCAAATGTTTTGTTGTATCTAGCAAGTATAATCTCCTGTACCTCAGTGTAAAACTTCTCAGTGTCTGCAACACAAACCAAATCGGCATTGACTTGTATAAATAATGCACAACTGATCCATTAGGCTTTCAAGTGAACACAATGCGTCAAAATCCAGTGATAAGGCAATGAATCTTGGGAGAATTTGATACACAGAAACAAAAATCAAATCCCCTCCTCAGTTTACCCAATTCCTATCAGATTTACTTTACGCAATTTTCTATCAGAATTCAAATACGCAATTTCGTGTGATGCGGAAGAAATTTACCGAGAAGAAGACCGTCCATGTCGAATATGACGTGAGTGATCGATCCTCTGCCGGCGACGGCGACGGCGACAGTCGACATTACAGAAACGATTAGGTAAGAATTCAGAGGTTTCTAATCTCTTTGTCGAGTCGAGGGATCGTTAGATTTACGTAACAATGGGCCTGATTTTGGGTTCATTTGGTTTTGAGAGAAAATCTTTCCCGAGTAAACCGGACATAATTCGGTTTGTTTAGTACGATTTTGGAGGCAATTTGATTTGGTTCTGTTCGGTTTACTTGGGCAAGAAAATTGCTACATAAATTATGGCCCACAAAATCCAACTCACGTATAAGAATGAATAAATAGTATTTGATTGCCGAGGTAATGTTTTTGTTTTTGTTTTTGTTTGATGGATTTCTTCTCAGTTCTTCTTCTATATTCGGTCTTAACTTAGCCACTTTTCTCTAGCTAGGTTCTTCACAATTTGACTAAACTTTGTTTTTGGTTCGAATTTTATAGGTTGAAGCAGTGTGAATAAGGCAACGAATCCTTTGCAGATGGACAAATCTTATTATAAGGTCAGATTCTCGATCCATGTTATATATGTTTTACACTTTTTAACTAAAAAGAAATTTGGAAACTGTCTGAAAGTTTACACTTTTCTCTCGAAAACCTTGCAGCAGTCCATGGAATTGCAAACAAATGATGAGTATGATTTGTTATTTCGTTGGCTTTTCTTTTATTCATTTTTCTTCGGAAATTAAAAAATTGAGGAAATCTTTCCAAGAGATGAATGAAACTATGAAAAAACTACAGGAGACTTTACTGACAAAGGCCAATCTACCGAACCTTTCATTGAAGGTATTTATATATTGTTTTAATAATTAAGTTCGGTACTAGGACTCTGTTTGTTTATAGCTCTTGTATTTGTTTTGTAGTTTGAGAAATGATACTTTATTTACTTGAAAATTGAAACCGATTCGACTCCTAAGAAGAAGTCTTGTTTTGTCTATATAGAAGGACAAAGAAACCCCAAAGAAAGAGGTGGAAGAAGCCACACATGAGTGCTGCTTCGAAAGTGAAGATGCCGAGGGAACCGATACCAACACCATTTTCGTTAAGGGATTTGATTCTTCCCTTCCTAGGGATGACATCAAAACCGCATTGACTAAACATTTTGGTTCATGTGGAGAGATCACAAGGGTTTTTGTTCCCATAGAATGTAAAACCGGTGCTTCCCTAGGGTTTGTCATCACTTGTTCCTCCAATTTTTAACAACTACTCAACAAGTTCAATGCAAACTAAAACTAAAACATCAACTTTTTTTTTGTTGGAGGCAATTAGATCATCTTGATAAGCCAATGAAGCAGAGCCAATTTGAAACAGAGAACAACAATCCTTGCAGCCATTAACCTTAAATGTCCGATTTCTGATCAGATTCAACCTAGTTACTCCGGCATCTTAACTCTCTGCAAATTAATTCACTCCTGAAAACAACAATCTACAGATGCAACGAAATTACCCAGAAGAAGACAGTCCATGTCGAATATGACGTGAGTGCTCGATCCTTTGCCAGCGACAAGAGTCTACATTAATGGGATTCCAAAGGATCTCTTCTCGAGGCTCTGATTGAAGAATTCAGAATCGAAAGAAGCTAATGATCTCTACTTTCGAATCCAGTCACTTAGAGGGCATAATTTTTCTGTTCAATGTAAAATGCAAATGTTAAAGAGATGTTTAAACTTCAACATTAGACCTTAATAATGATGTTAATTTATTTGTTTACAACCACCAAGTTAAAATGAAGATTTGTGTATCCACAGTTTTTGTTGTTATTCCAAAAAACCCTTCTTCTTGTAGAGCTCCATAGTGTCCTTAAGATGAATCAACCTCACTTAGCCTTGGCTTGTTTATCTCATTCTTGTCTAGGATCAGATGTCGCTCTTTGATCTTCTCGAATCGCCACTCCTCATTCCCGAAACATCATCTCCACTGAATCCTCAGCATCTCTCTGCCAAAGAAACAGAAAATAATCAAAATGTTAAAGAGAAGGAAGAGATCTTTTGTTTCAAATAAGAAAAGAGAGGTCGACTCTGGTAAACTCCAGTTGAATAATCAATAGCTCAAAGAAGACGAACAACTATGTTATTTAATGTGAATGACTTGTGCCACTTCTTAACTGAATGAATTAGCTTTTAATTTATATTTTGTGATTTCTGTCAATTCTTATTAGAACCGAGAAATTTTAGACAGTGGCGATATATAATAGCTACTGAATTTCTGAGTTCCACATGGATCAAGCGGAAGCTAAATACTAAAACTATATCACCAGAATGATCAACCAGAGAAGATAACTCTATACAAAAGATATTACCAAAAGCAATATCCACCAGAATGATTCAGCAATTTACTCAGTAAATGAAATAACTTGAATATAGCAACCAAATGGGAAACCTAGTTGTTTTACACCGCAGATTCGAAGATAAATAAAGAGAATCACCGAACAAAGTGAAAAGCTTGCAATAGACTTCAGTGCAAATAGGAATGTTACAGAAAGCAATTGCATGAGGGACGGTTCCTAGAATGCTTATAAACTAAAGACAAGCACGAAAGAGATAATCTATATCACAACATCTACATAAGAGCAGAAATCTAAAAGAACCTGGCTTTGCTGCAACACCCCATCTCCCAGATCCNTCGCTTTTCACATAGAACCTCGCTTTCACTGAACCCCACAAATCCCCTCTTGTGTGATCATAAACTCACAAGAAGCTCCAGGTAAATAAGGTGAAAAAACAATGTCAAGGCGTCTCAGAGCTCTTTGACCGCTCTCATCTTTTTCGCTTCTCTCTTTACAAATAGTATCATCACTCCGTGATATAAAAACCCTAGAGTTCACACAATTAGCCCAAGTCAATCCTAAAGCAGGAACAACACGTCTCCCAGAAGAATACAAATACCTCAAATTCCCAATCCTTAACCCACTTAACCCATCAGAAGAAGATTCAACCAAATCAGTGACCTGATTCGTAACCACCACAGCCAAATCAAACTTATTTGCCAATTGCTTCAATTTCCCAGATACCTTAAAAAACAAAGAAGATCTCTTCCTCAGATCAGACGGTGTGTTATCAAACTCCGATCTGAACAACGCCGCTACAGAATCAAGTACAATCAGCTTCAAAGGAAACCGAGTTTTCGATTTCCCGACAAAATTATCTATCCTAGGCATTATGTCGAACAGGTGGTCTACAGAATGGACATTTTGTACAAACACATGATCACAAGGATTATCATTGTGGTTCGCGTAAATACTAGGGTTAGATAGATGAAACGATCGTGAGAGCTGATGAAGACGACGAAACGGAAAAGGAAACTCGGAATGGAGATAAAGAGCAGAACCGTCGAGTCCGCCGTGTGAAATCGGAAGTTGGGCACAAAGTGAGAGCTGAAGGCAGAGTTGTGTCTTCCCGCAGCCGCTCTCCGCCACGATTTCCGTCAAAGAATCGCAGGGAAATCCACCGCGAAGACAACCGTCGATGACTTCACAGCCGGTGGTTAGCTTCGGACTCGTCGGCGATTTCCCGACGAGACTCTCCGGCTTCATTTTCTCATCGGCGCCAAAAGCAATTGATTTCTCGAAAATTATAAGGGAAGACACAGAAGGACGTATCAAAACGGCACCGTTTCGGATATCAAAACGGCATCGTTTCGGATATCGAAAAACGGCACCGTGTTGAGCTGTAATTGGGCTTAATTTCAAACGATGGCGTTAGGCCCAACAAGGTAAACATACGAATACGGTGTCGTTTGTGCACATCACTGATTT